GCGTGATACTCCAAGTTGCACCAGCAGTACTCTACGATCTGGTCCCGCCAGAAGCATATGAAGCCTGGCTAGCCTTGTGCCCGCTTTGTCCGTTGGTCTTCCAGCCAGAAATCCGCGAGCTTGACAGCTACCTAGTTATGCTGCAGGAAGCTATTGACGATTTCTTGGCCGCAACAGCTCTATGGACGACTCAGTGGTTCAATAAACCGAAGTTTCATCTTCTTCTCCATCTCGTGCTCCATATTCGCTGCTTCGGACCTGCTATTCTTATGGCAACGGAAGGCTTCGAATCGTACAACTACGTCATACGTAGTCGCAGCATTTTGTCCAACCGACATGCACCAAGCAAGGATATTGCCCACTCAATGAGCTTTACCCATGCTGTCCGCCATCTTGTCAGTGGTGGCTTCGTAACGACTCAAGAGGGACTACGACGTCAAGCCGGAATGTGCGTTCAGGCACTCGCACATGATCAGATCTTTCTTCAGCTTATGGGCATGGCACATCTCGATGCAGCCTCAGACAGCAAGCTCTCTTGTACGTCTTAGAGGATACGATTCCCTCACGTAGCTAACATTGAATGATTTTTCAGTGAACACACAGACTGTGAAGGGCGCAGCACTCATCCCTCGAAGCAAGTCTCTCACAGCGTCTGTCTTGCCAACCATCAGCGAAGCTGAAGGCGGAGAGGCTGATGACGAGCTGCTAATGCCATGTCTGTCAGTAAGTCTCCCTGGCAAAGACATAGCTCGGTTGGAAGGCTTCTTATTGGTCGACTTGGGTGAGGCTACACCGGCACTCGGGCGGGTGCTCGAGATCCTGCGAGGTCAAGACGGCCGCGTCCACCTCCTTCTGCAACAATGGGATGTGCAAGCGTGTATTCTTCCTTATCGTATGCCAGCTATCAGACCTAGAAAGGCGTACATATCCATTAAAGCCGAAGTAAGTCGTTGAAGTCATGCCACGGTGTGCAGTAAGAGCTAATGCTACACGTTCTATCCAGGGTGTCCTTTGCGTTGCTCATACTTTTCACAACTGTCACCGCAATCACTGTGTGGCCTCTAGAACACGTGTTGTGCGCCAGGAACGCCAGGAAACAGCTCTTCGAGCAGACGAATACTTGCATACAACCCACTCCGAAGACCTTGTTCTCAACCTGGCAAAAATGCGAAGTGCCGCCGAGTTCCATGTGTTCCGCTCCGGCTCATGTTATCTACATATTTCTCTTGCTGAACTGCTTCCTCTGGCAGTCGAGAAGCGTCAGCAAATGAACCAGGCTACACAAACCACCACTGGGAATAAACGCACTCGCTCCACATTCAGACGGCGCCTTCTACACCGCATCGTAGATCAGCTGTGCTGAGTGGGATGCTACCTCCAGCTCAAGTATATCCTCTGCAAACACCACCCAGAGGTACGCATTTGCAGCTACCGGATGAGCTACCTTGTACACCCTCACGACGAACATCAGCCATCCAGTTTACTGTACCTCACACTCCTGAAATGTATGCGCAGGAATAAAATATATACCGTGATTGCATTGACAGCATAAATTTAATCTGGAATCAAGGACTTGTACTGGTTAAGGAGCACAAAGTCTCACAGACAGAGGCTGTGATCTGGGCTCATTATCAAAAATGCGACATGAAAGCTGAACGCCAGAGAGCGAAGTGCTGAAGCGGCGAAGCGCCACGACTGCCGCCATGATGCGGCGCCATCCCATCACCGCGTGCGAGAGAAGCTCTGCATTCTCTGCTCTCTTTATTCCCTCTAGCCACCAGCTTTATGCAGTCTACTACGAAGTCAAGAAGGGCAATGTTAGATAATATGTTTATACCAGTACACATATCTAGCAGTACAGCGATGTGCCTGGTGACTTTTCGCTACGCTCATCATTCTCCTTCTGCGAACGCATCTCCCCTCAGGCCAACAGCATGCTTAGGATGAGATGAGAGGGTAGACTTCATAAGAAGAGCTTCGAGGTGAGAAATCTGCTCATCTTTCCTCATAGACTCTTCTAAGAGTCGAACCAACATCTTCTGCAGCTCCTGGTTTTCCTGTCGTAGACGAGCAATCTCAGCATGAGGATCGAGATAGGCCGTAAGTGCTCCAGGTTGCTCGACAGATTGTAAAGGTTCCTCTAAACCCTTCGAGCCTACTCTGTCCACCAACCAGCTAGGCTTCGATGCACGAGATACATAGGACTGTTGTTCAGGTTGATGATATGCAGTCTTCGTGAGCATGCTCAAGCGAGGACCTTGTTGTTCACAAAGCCACTCAGCTGCATACATGCAATCATTGTTCTGCTACGTACCTGTGATGCATACTGTCTCGTCTTGCTTGACGACAACTGAACCTGAACAGCGATCTCCAGCATAGTTCAAACGTGCAGCCTTGGAGCTCGGAGTAAAGTCATTGGTGTCTTCTATCTTCACACGCTTTGATGTCGTCTTTGTAGGTGTGTGAGGGAAGTCCTCAAGACTTCGGACAAACTGTGAGTCAACAGCTCTGCCTGCTATGAAAAGCCCACACAGCAATTGATGTTAAGAGCAAATTATCCCATGAGAGTTCACATACTCAGCGCCCTTGTCATTCACCTCCTGAGTAGCATGTTGGAACAGCGATGGTGAGCCTGCTACTTGAGTTTTGACATCTTTTGAAGGCTGATAGTCATCACTTCCTACCAGACCAAAGAAGTGATAGACTGGATCGCTGCTGAGGGTTGTGTTTACTTCTATGTGGGCAGTTGGAAAGACTGTTGGGGCATTGGTAAATGTTTGTGTCGGTGATCAGTGAGCCCATGTGATCAGCTCTGCCTGTCTTGCGTTGATAATCTGCCCACCGACTTTGCTCAGTCTGTCCTATCGACATGTTGTTTCCGAGCAGCACTGGAGCTGAATGCAGCGGCAGAACTCGCCATGTTCACTCACCATACCCACACCATGGACCTGACAGTCCTGTTGCTCAAGGTGGATTGCACCAAAGCACAGCCGATGAGGCTCGTTACTCTGCACCTGTAGCTCACCCGCCGCCAACACCACAGATGAATGCATGGCAGCCCACACTTCTGGGTGACACAAGCTTTTCATCTAACAGATTGTCTTTTTCTCAAGAGTCCTTACATCACACTTTGTCGCCATTCAATGTATCGCATACCCACCCTTCAAACAGCTTTGTACCTCAACCACACTATACATCCCCATCTGGGATTGACCCTGCACAGACATACTTCATTGACCAACTTATTAGTCAAGTAAAGATTGGCAGTTCTGCAAAGTGCCAGCTTTTCCATGAAGTTGCCAACATGAGTTTGCCCCATTTGAGTCATGTATTGGCTGTTTGATAATTGTTTTTACATTTCTCTCATAGAGTTCCATGGACAAACAAGTCATTGCAGCTTTGGCGCACTCTATGGCTATGTGCGAAGAAGTCGACGCTTTGGCAAATAAGGTGGTAGAGCAAAATCAGACGTTAGAGAAGATCCTCCAGTATTGTTGTGAGGACTGGAAGCTAGATGCTACGCAGGATGTGGGTATCTGCCCTTTGAATTACGGACTACCTTCTGACCATTTGTAGAGCCTCATCAATGCTACATTGCGTCACTTCTTGATCCAGCCTGCCGAGGACTATGGTCTGGTCGCAGTTCCATGAGTTATGGTGCGTCAACCTTGTCCACTCTTGATTTGTGTTACATCTGGACATATCCTGCAAAGGCATATATCAAAAAGCGAGAAAATGCTGTCAAGTTCCACTTGGAAGATGTGATTGGTGACTCCATTGCCGAGACAAAGATCCTCAAGGTTATCGAGAAGAAGGAGCTCCCGGCATGTGGAAACTTCAAGAAACTGGTGAGACAGTTTTGTTTATTGATGGTTGGTCACTCATCTGCGTGTACCATAGGTATGGCATGCTGTGGAGAAGCAACAGTCGCTTGATTGCTGGATAACTGATGTCATTGCACATTGGAACTACGGGCCTGAACCATGAGCCAGCACATGGCGCTTAATTATGGCACATTTGGCGTTTGCGGTGTGTATCTCAGTCTCTATACATCAGCAAGCTGAACAGTCCTTCTACAGCGTAGTATTGCTGAGCCTATCGTGGCGGAAAAATGTCCGACTGGGGCTGACAGCGGCTTCTGGAAGGTTTTGCGAAAAGAGATGAAGTTGCTTCATAGCAAGAAGAAGCTGGGTCCTAACCATGAAAGCGAGAAGTGGCTGGAGTGCGTTCTTTCACCTGCTCATGGTACATCCTCAGCCGCTGACATCATGGACTTGGACAATAGATGGCAGGAGGCAGTCATTGTAGCAGATGAAGCCAAGTATGGCCAAGGTTTTACTGGTCATTCTATCACCTCCAACGACGACGCAGATGAGAACAATGATAATACAGAGCAGCGAGACAGTACTAATGATTCTGATGACCCTTTCTTGCAGGTGCATGCCTTCTATTCACATAATGCTGAGCAGATGAATACCTCGTAGTAACTTTATTTGATATATATGCAAATGCTACATCTACATTGGTGAAATTTGAAACAGAAAGCTTCTGCTTGCCCTGTCCAAAGCTACTGTGCGAGGTTACACTTGAGTTGTGGGCGCTTGATGACCCAGCCTAAGATCTAGATTGTGAGATTGTTGTTTGGTCAAAATACGGCTATCGTGAGATAACAATCGAATGGATTTTAGACCTCAGCTATCTGGACATTGATCCGGGGGAAATCCTCTGGAAACCTGGTACACGCAATCTCCCGGGGCCCTGTGTATGCATCCTGATTGATTTCAGCATGCTAGAGAGTGCCTAATTAGGTTGGCTAGGTCAGCCAACCTGTTATAAGAACCCTAACCCAAGTCTGCCTGGCTGGAACTGTGCTCAACACCAGCTCCGCAGTTCCTTCACCATTTATTGGGCATCATATTTCTTGGGTAATTTTTGTGAAGTGTAAAGCGAGCTGTGAGCTGTTCACAACAAAAACCACAGGCTCTGAATATAATTTTGATTTACTGGCCATTTTTTGCATAAAATACTTGCTGAGAGCTTTGAAGGGCACATAAAATTGCTGTAAACTTGTATGTCTATATCTTTTATATGCCAAAAAGCAGACATTCTGTTTAGTTGCGCCTCCTTGTCACTCTCTGTGCAACTGCAGCTGGTTTATGGTGAGGAAGAGTGCGCAATTCCAATTAGGTAGGAGAGTGCTTGAGTGCCGCCCCCCCAGCGCACATGGCTTCGTAGAGTCATTCTCCAGCAGCGGGAGGCTCCAGAGGGTATGCAAGCTCTTTTTCACCTCTTTTTCTTCTATCTCCTGCCCTGGCTGACCCTGAGCAACTCTTTGGCCAGGGATCTTTGCTGCCTCTGACAGCTCAGCCCTGGCCATGTCCTAGCTGCCTACAGCTGAGTCTCATGCTCCGCTAATACCCTTCCTTATTGTTTGCTATGCCATACCCTTAGAAACTATGTCTCAGCTGTCAATTTTCCACTGCCTTCTGCTTCTGATGCTGCACACCAAAGCAGCACACCACGAGGCCCCTCCACAGGAACAGAAAGCTTGTTGCAGCCCGCCCTCGCCAGTACGCAGTATGAGGACATGCCCCTGGGCGGTGTCTCAGCTGTGGAGAAGTGAGAAATTTTCCATTCTCCTGTGAGCTTCGCTTTCTAGTAGGTTTCTATCACTCCTGGAACCTTGAAGGTGTGGTGAACTGGCAAGGACACAATACCTGAACTCACACGTTGCAGGTGTGCCCTGTCTAGCATATATCATACAGGTTAACAGACGAACTCTCAAGACTATAGTATCTTTGTCTGGTGCCGAGCAGATGGAAGCCTTCCTCACTTGCTAGAGCCTAAAGATCATTGGAGAATTCTATCAGGTAGTCTGTGTGCCACTTCGCTGGACATTGTTCGAATCTGCTAGTATACACCTAAATCTCAGACTGGTGGTTCCTATCTATGGTCTTACATGCAAGCCTATTTGAGCTCGAGTCGTGAACGACGTTGCTATCATAAATTTGAGACTCTGTAGTTATGTCTTCTCCACCAAACCCCTTTGCAGTGACAGATGTCACTTGCTATAGAGAGGGCTATGATGGATGTAGAGATGTTACCTAGAAGTTATGCACCCAGGAAAGAAAGCACAATTATCTTTGAGAATAAAATACAAGGCGAATGCCAGTGTAAGCCTGCTTAGTCAACATCTTCCACATTGGCCCCTTTGGCAAGCCCGCCGTATCTTCCAAGATAGACGTTGGGAATTCTGAAGGAGGTGACAGCACAATGGACACCAGTGCAAACTATATCATATTTCTTGATTGGTCGCATAACAATGTCTGGGCACAGCCAAAGCGAATCAGCGCATCTTGTCTTCCAACTTCTGGTGTGTACTGGCAACAAGTAGGAGAGCAAGGCTTGTTAAGCATGAGGCATTTGCCATCAAGGAGGGCATAGGTATGTCATACAAGGGGCCATTATGACTCGCTCGCATTTTTACCTTGTCCTTCAAGATTTGTGTGTACATTTTATAGTTCCTTGAGGTGCTAAACGTCTCTCTAAATTTGCATGTGATAATTTGTATAGTCATCAATGACGTGTCAATAAGTCCTCAAGATTTCTAAGCTATACTTACAACTACATGCTCCTTGCAAACTGTACTATACAGAAAACCTCTCACGAAAGGTACCCGTGGACGTGCGAGGCGGATTCATCCAATTTTGTGAGTGGTTAGAATACGTAGTCTTGTAAATGTGCTGACATACCCTCATCTCCAGCTGACCAGCTTTGGCCTCAACCGCTGTGAGCTCAAGAACCTCGAATGATGCTAGGGCTATTCTTGTTGTGTGGAGCATCATTCTCGGCAGTGCGTTAAGATTTATATTTGCTGTGTCTGCATTAAAGTGTGGGCAGGATACGCATTGATGTTACAGTGATGGAGGATTTATTGCACAATTCCACACTCGTGGAGGTGAGAATAACCGACTCGACATGTGCATTGTCTGCACCCCCTATAAAGGTTTGAAGGGATTGAAGTACAAAGCAGGAAGGTGGCCCACTCTGCTATCTCACGCCACACATATCTCCAGGCTTTCTTCCATCTTCTGAACACCGTGCCTGCAGCAAAATGTGCGTTAACTCGAACTCGTATAATACTCGTTGGCAAAGCTCCTTTGTAAGTTGTCTCATTGCCCACAGTGCCAGGTAGTAGCTCGCAGTTCTTGCAAGAGCTTTCTTCACTGCTGAAAAGAAATTGCGTGGAGCCTCGAAGCACAAGACCTGCTTTATCCAAAAGGCGCATGCCCCTTGTATCATTAAACCCAGTATTTGAAGCTGACTTGTTCGCGCTCCCTGCCATTCAGGTGGAAGAAGAGATGACCATGCCACAACCCACACCTAAGGTTGGGCCTGTTGCACAGAGCTGTATGCTGTGCTGCCACACCCAATTGAGCGCTGTAGCATATCTGCATTCCTACCCCGGCGGTCAGTGTGGCCATCCCATGAAACACAGCATACAGCTTTGATCAATGTTATGACTATGTTACGGTGTGGTGTCTCTTGCGCGGAAGAGAGCATGTATGAGCGGACGACGACAGTTTAGCTGAAAACTGCCACCAAGATATCCTCAGCAGCTATGTTATTGTTACAACCAGACAGGCCAGTGTGTGTGGCCACCATGCAGCGTGTGTGACTGCCAGTACAAAAGACAAGGTACACTACAGACAGACAGACAACACAAACAGAGGCTATAAGATGCGGGACAACAGAAGCAAATGCCATTAAAGATGGAGCACACACAAGAACAGAGAGACTTGGAGAGAGGGAAAGGAGAGCAAAAAGGCTACAAAAATTATGGCAGACAAAGATCAGACAGGATGCAGCCAGGTCCGACAGAAAAGACAAACTTATGGCAACACAGCACACAGCTCTGTGCAACAGGCACAACCTCCCACAGTGTTTTCACTGATGGGGTACATGATCCAAGACATGGCCCATCTGACCCCAAGGGTCATTTTCTTATAGGCAATTCTTGCCCTTATGCATGCATCATATGTCGTTGTGCAGCAGACTCTACAGAACAATTCTTGAGTGCACGAGTTGATCATGGAATGAATGGGCACGGTTCTCATGCAAACCAATGACGAGTGGTGCTTTGGCGAGCCTGCAATGGAAAACACAGCCCTACAGCCCTAAGTGCCTAGTCACAGGTGCAATGGTTAAACAAGATATGTATGTTGTACAAGGTACCATGTTTGAGTGTGTCTGCATTCCATCCTCAGCCAGTCGATGTACAATCTAGAGCAGGAATGGGGCGATGATCATGAGCAGTTGATGAGCTTCTTCCCGTCCATTGAGGCCTCTCCTGGATGCTATAGTCCGGAGATCAGCAATGTGTGAGGTCAACAACCACAGCAAGATGATGCCATGACCTCCAGCTGCTACCAGCTGGAGAGCTGAGTGGAGTGTCAGGTGTGGATTTTCTTCCACCTGGATGGCGGCAGGAAGCGCAAATAAGTCAGCTTCAGATACTGAGTTTAATGACACAAGAGGCATGTGTCTTTTGACTGAGGCAGGTCTTGTGCCTTGAGGCTCCATGCATTTCTTTTCAGCAGTGAAGAAAGCTCTCGTGAGAACTGCAGACTACTACCTTGGCACTGTGGGCAACAAGATAGCTTAAAGAGGAGCTTCACCAAAAAGTATTATACGAGCTCAAGTTAATGCACATTTCACTGCGGGCACGGTGTTCAGAAGCTGGAAGAAAGCCTGGGGATGTGCATGGCACAAGATAGCAGAGTGGGCCACCTTCCTGCTTTGTACTGCGGTCCCTTCAAGCCTTTACAGAGGGCGCAGACAATGCACATGTCTTGCCAATCTCCAACTGGCATTTTTCCGTATGGCACGCTGCCATGGATCAGCTGAATCAGATTGTGGAATACACTCTGTTGTGGCTATACGAAGACTCGGAAGACACAAAGAGATAAACGCAATGGGAGAACACTTGCACTGGCAGGATTTGGTTGGCGCTACTGTCTACCTGCACTCAAACGGTACCAGTTATACACCGGCTGAGTGTACAGCTCTCAAACTGCCTCTGTAGACAGAGATGAGAACAACATGTAATTCGTGCTACTTCTCTGCAGGCACGTTTAATTCATGTTGCCTCTGCAGATACAGAGATGAGCCTGAAAATGTTGTGATGCACGTTTACTTATGTTCAAGTTGCATATATATATATCCCCCAAGTCGCTACTCCCTCTGTCAGTGCTTGCCTCAAGCTCTTCACCCCAGACCACTGTGAGTAACCATTTTGAAGCTGCACGCGCCTCTCATAGTGGATGCCTCTCAGTACACCACTGCCCCATGGAATCATCTGCCCAATCTGCTTGCGTCGTCCTTGAGCCTTGTGCCCAATGCTCTCAAGCAACTATCGATGACACACCAATCCAGATTATCCAGGGCACCTATAAGTATATGAGCATTCTGGAGCTTGGAAATATTACGCACCTTCAAGTCACCATCCATGCAAGCTCTCACACATGCTTGGGCTTGTCTGCACCTCACCATATGTCAACTGACCACTCGACTTTCACCCTCTTTCACCCAGACTG